CTGGACCATGCTATCCCCTGGGATTGCTTCACCTCTAAATGTTAAACTCACAGGTCCCCACTACAACCCCCCACCCCTACCTTCCAGGTCGCTCACTATGTTACTCCCAACAGGTCCACTCTTCAGTCTGTTTGGAATGTCCAGTTCACCAATCCCTTGGCTCTCTCTCCAGGGCCTCCTTCTGCTTTACCTCTCCAACTTAAATTCCGAGATCCAACATTTTGACTATTTTTGTGCCATTGTTCTTTAATTGCACTGTCCTACCAAAAACAATCCAGGACAATTGTCCACCTGCACTAGCAATGTTGAGTGCTCCTAGAGGAGGGGTGGGTCATACATCCAGTTTGATCTTTATCAGAATGCTTGGTCACCTAACTCAACCGCAGTATTTCCTGGCAGTTCTAAATTGGATGGACAGATGGATGGATGATATAGGTGGACACTTGCAGAGATGCTGCAGAGGATCTCCAGGCCCTCTGTTACGCTGAGATATGGATGATCCACAGCCCGACATTTCCAATTTTACTTCAAAACATACAGCTTTGTTTTCCTTTAGGGTAGATGTATCTGTGCTTCTCATAATTTCATAAGCATACAACACTTTTTTGCCTTCATAACTTTGTCCATCATCAAATGAGGAGAAGAACCTTTCCTGGGGAAGGAATGGAAAACCTCTAAAGTAGAGTGGAGAAGGAAGAAGGAATCTCAAGAATACATATTTGTGTGGCAGAAAGAGATTGCCTGAGATAGAACCAACTGTGACACAAGCCACCAAAGAGAAAGGGGAGTTTTGTAGTGGCTTGCGTTCACTAGGCCCTGAATCCATCTCAAGATGGTGCTGTTGTCTTGGGGTACTTTAGCTGTCATCTATTAATCGACAAATACTAATGGAACGCCTTTTATTTGCCAGGCACTGTTCTAGAGGCTTGGGAAAGAGGAGTGAATAAGACAATGTCCCTGCTCTCAAGGAACTCACATTCTAATGAGAAGAAAAGGTAGAAAACAAAGCAAAAAAATGAACAAAGTAATTTTAGTTCATGATAGGAAAAAGAAGAAAGTAAAATAGGACAATGACTAGACAGTGAATGGTGTTTTAGTCCATTTCGTGCTGGGTAACGTATAAAGAAAAAAGGTTCATTTGGCATACGATTCTCACATCTGGAAAAGTTCAAGATTGGGCATGTGATGAGGGCCTCAGGCCGCTTCCACTCATAGCAAAAGGTGAAGGGCAACTGGCTGTGCAGAGATCACATGGGGGGAGAGGGAGGGAGGTGCCAGGCTCTTTAACAACCAGATCAAAACAACCAGCTCTCTCAGGAACTCACCCGCTCCCCACCCCCAGGGAGGGTATTAATCTATTCATGAGGGATCTGCCCCCATAACCCTGACAGTCCCATTAGGCCCAACCTCCAACAAAGGGGGGGGGGTCTAAATTTCAACATAAGATGTAGAGGGAACACACATCCAAACTATAGCAATGGGAAGGGGGGTATATTTTAGATTGTGTGGTCAAGGAAGTCATCCCTCTGAGGGTAACATTTGAGCTGAAAACTAAATGGTGAAAAAAGGACCATTCGCATGGAAATCTGAAACCTTGGCTCTCCTAATTACAAGATGGCTGCTACAGTGTCAAGTATTGCGGCCTCACATAACAACTTCCAAAGCAGGTCTGGAGATTTCCTTTTACCAGGATGAAAAATACTTTCCACAACTCCCCAGCACACTTCCCTTCATGTGCCACTTGCCAGAACTAGGTCACATACCTACTCTCTAACTAGCCACCTGCAAAAGAGACTGTGACTACAATGACTGGCTGGGAACAACAATGTTTCTTCTGCTGGGACGGGGAGGGCATCCTTCCCTGAGCACATGCTGCCCAAACCACCAGACTGCCCTGCTGTCAGCAAGAAACAAGAGTAAAGCAGTTACCACGAAGACCGAACTTGAGAATTTTATCCGGGATTTATTGAACTCCAACCATGTGCCAGGCACTGTGCTACTGTTAAGGATAAAAAAGAAGACGTAGGCATCACTTTTACCATCTCACGCCACTGATAAAAAACATTCAGTGAAGGGAACTCCCTGGTCCCTCCTCTTCTCCATTGCAAAGCCCTTGGATTAATCGAGGTGCATTTCACGCTCACTTTCCTCCCTGAAGCCTCTGCTCATGTCTTCAATCCAGAATGACTCCTTCTTCTCAATTCATAAAACACATTTATTCCTTTGACAAATATTCACTGAGCATCTGGGCCCCAGAATATAATACAATTTTGCTGAAAAGACAAGGTCCCTGCCCTCACAGAGTTCCCATTCTAGTGCCATAGAGAGATCATTAACTAGCCAGTTACAAAAAAGAATGGAAAGTGTTAGAAGAGGGGAAGCAGGAGTGCTCCCAGGCACCAAGAGGGAGCACTTTAACTCACCCATAGGTGGGATGAGAGAAGATATATTTTAGAGAAAATGTCATTTAAGTCAAGGAAAGGATAAATAGAATTTAGGGAAATGGGAGTAGCGGTCAGGAGCTGGGGGAGAAGGTAAGGAGGCTTTTCCACCTAGAAAAATGAGCATGTGCAAAGAGCCAGAGGTGGGAAGAGAGAGTTGGAGGAAAGGAAAAGAAAGAAGCTCAGCACTGCTGGAGAAAATAGTGGGAAAGGAGAACAGGGAGAGATGAGTCTACAGCGACAGGTAGAGGCTAGGTCGGCAGGGGACTTGATCCTAAGGGAAGCCATCAAAGGGGCAGGCCACTCTTACACCTCTGCTCCAATCCCTTTCCCACACTTCAGCCATGCTACAAACAGGGTAACCAAAAGACACTGTGGCAATAGGCTGGACTAGTGTAGTGACCAGAGATTCAGTGAATGATGGGCTATGACCTGCTGGGGAGGTGAGCAGTCAAGGATCACTTTAGACACTGCTGGTTTGGGCACCTGGAAGGATGGTGGTGACCTTCACTAAGCTATCTATCCAGCACTGGACAGATTCATTTTTGTATAAGTTGCATTTGAGCTGCTTCCCCCAGGGCACTGAACACAGTGTGTTCATTAATTAACTTTTTTTTGATGCCTTTTCTTCTCCCTCCCCCACCTTCTATGTCAAAGCCACTCCCTTATCTTGGATCACACTTTTCTCTGATGGGCCTATTGCACTCTTCCCCTTTGAGTCCACACCCACGTGAACAATGTGAAAAACATGGTTAGGTGCTTCAAGTTTTCATGACTGTATCCCTTTAGGGAAATCCATGTTTTCTGAGCTCCTACTACGAGCCAGGCACTAACATGCCAACAATTCCATCAGTGATCACTAACACGGTTTCTTAGCGAATAAAAATCTAACGCATCCAATCAGGTATTTAATGATATCAGATATCAATGAATTGCAGTTAGTAATGTACAACAATCCAACTTTTTTTTTCTTGCACCTGTTTTTATTCTTTAAGGAAAAAACCCTCACCCCTTTAAAGTTTAATCATGTGGGACAGCGTGTGATTCCGTGGCATAGGAACCGGTGTCAGTTCTGGGTGTCCTCCACGTGGTCTTTCATGTATGTGCATTATTCACAATATGCAATTTCACTACTTGAGGTTAGCCGGTACTAATTTTATAATACCGTGTAGCTACATGAAGCTCAGAATATACTACACCACTACGTTTTAAGTAGTACCAGCCTGGATGAAGCATCAAAGTGAGAAGGGTGAACTTAAAGGGCCTTTAAAACATCTTGAAGCAATAATAAGCCATAGATTGAAGCAGGGGCGTTTTTAAACATTACCCAGGACTAAAACAATTGAACCAATTTGTCCTTTGTTCTTTTTATTGCATTCTTTATTACGTTAATACTGTTTAAAAAGAAATTCAAAAGGCATTAAACTCAAGTAGTAAGCTATACAAAATCCTCGAAGGGGGCCTGGCTTGGACAGAAAGCGCTTTGCCGCCGCCCCGCTCGCTCGCAGCTCCGAGAAGGCCTGAGCTCGGTTGCGCTTGGTCCCAGGGAAACGACATAAAATGAAGGGTCGCCGGGCCAAGCCCTCAGCCGGCCCCGAGCTCTCTGGGTGGGAGGATCCGACCGAAGTTTGCCAAGTTTTCACGCAGGCCCGGCTTAGCAAATGTCGCCCTTTCGCTCCAGTGGCAGGCCTGGCCGTGGGAGGTTTGCCCCGGGGGTCTCCTGGCCTTCAAGGAAAGCCCCGCAAGGCGGGGGCGCCGCCCGGGCTGCCCCTCCACCAGCCGGCGACAGGCGGGACTCGAGCCCAGGGGCACAATGGAAGAGCGCGCCCGCAGGCGCTGCCCCTGGGAACTTGGGGCCGGTTGAGGCTGGAAGTCCCCCGACCGCTGTCCCTTCCCCAGCTGTCGCCCTTTCTCTCCCGAATCCGTCCCGGCCGTCCCGCTCCTTCACCGGCGCTGCCCCTGCGCCGTTTTTTTTTTCATGGAGTTATGTGCACTCGGCCGAGGAGGGGCCGCGCTGGCCGCGGGGCCCAGCCCTTCCCGCCGCGCCCGGGGCCGCCCTTCCCGCCGGAGCTGGCTGATTGATGGCCCGGGCCGCCCGCGAGCCCGGCTGGCTGTGTGTTTTGGAAGCGGCGCAGCGGGCCGCAGCCGTGTGACGCCCGGAGCGAGCAGCGCCGCCCTTCCTTCCCCCAG